TATGAACCCCATGGAAGACACTGACTGCCTTATGGATAAGGGGGGGGGGGTGTACCAGATATGAACCCCATAGGAGACACTGACTGTCTCATGGATAGGGGGGAGTGTACCAGATAGTAATCCCATGGGAGACACTGACTGTCTCATGGATAGGGGGGAGTGTACCAGATAGTAATCCCATGGGAGACACTGACTGTCTCATGAACAGGTGGGAGTGTGTAAGATAGGAATCCCATGGGAGACACTGACTGTCTGGTAGACAGATGGAACTGTGCTAGGCTTACAGACATGGCACACTAGACCTGACCGTCATGGAAAACATTGAGCAAATGCAGATAGTTAAATACTGCAGCTGCTCATCTGAGGTTGTTATTGATACACCATCTTTAGACAGCAGCTCTCTTTTAGGTACCTCCCTTATCTTAGTTTTGGCTTTCAATCTACGAGCATTGTAAAGGCTGCAGTCAGATCGAAAATGGATACATTTACCATCCTCCTGAACTCGAAACGGCAGATTTAAAAAAAAGTAAGAAGAGGCAAGTACACATTCCTGCCACTGGATAGTTAAGTACAAACTCCTCCGATGTTATACCGTCAAAGTTGACTGTACCTTTCATAGCTGTTTAAAACGACATAATAATTAATACTCAGTAGGGTAAGTGGTTCAATGGTAGTACTATAGTAAATACTCTGCGATTTGAAGTTTTAGCATTAGATGTATGTCTGAGGTGTTCAGTTGCCTTCCTCGTCGTCTTTCTATATCAGACAGTTACCAACACGTTCTGAAACCCATCATCATCAGCGAGTACCTTGCTAACTAGCGTAGACTGTAGGCAAGTATGTATGTATGCACGAGTGTATGTATGTATGTGAGTATCTGTATGGGTGATTGTATATGTGTGTATGCATGCATGTGTAGGTATGTATGCAATGTGTGTTGGCATGTATGTGGGTGTGTGTATGTATACATGTTTGTGAATGTGTGTATCCATTTGTAGATATATAAGTATATGGGTGTATGTGTGTGTATTTAGGTATGTATGCATGTATGTGTGTAAAGATGTAGGTGTATGTATTGATGTGTGTATGTATATGTGTGTATGTATGTTTACATGTGAGTGTAAATGTGTGGTTGTGGGTGTCTGTACATGTGACTGTATGTGTGTGTATGCATGTATGCATGTGTAGGTGTGTATATATGGAATGTGTGTGTGCATATATGTCCATATATGTATGTGTGTGTCTTTTCTGTTTGTGTATATATGTAGATGTATCATCTACATATATATATATTTGTGTATGTGTGTGAGTGTGTAAGATTGTGTACACATGATGTCTGTATTATATTCTATCATGTATATTTGTAATCTGTATCTATAACATCCATTTTAGATAACAGGCATTGGTACTCTGAAAAACGAGTGCTTAGAAGGGCCGAATGTCAGACCGGCCTGCGTGCCCAATTTGTAACCCTTTGAAAATAAAGTTTGTTTGTTCGTTCGTTCGTTCGTACCTTTCGGCCATCTGTGATCTTCAAAAGCAGGTATCAGTTCATGTGCTGACATCCTTGCATGCCATGACATTAGTCTTCTCACGTTGTCTTCCTCTATCTCGTTTTCCACAGATCTTTCCACTCTCCAAGTAACAAATGCATGAGGCTGCGTCGGATCCAGACCCATTCTGATCGGAAAGAGGAATAAACGGCTACTTCTGGAGATTAAACCATGAAGCTCATTCAGGTGCACAAATAGATATACCACGTCTGCGCGTGTATGTCTGCATGTATCTGTCTGTCTGTCTCTCTCTCTCTCTCTCTCTCTCTCTCTCTCTCTCTCTCTCTCTGTGTGTGTGTGTGTGTGTGCGTGTATGTGTGTGTATGTGTGAATAAAATGTCTGTACATTAGAATCAAATTTACGTCCTCCTTCTCTCCTTTCACAGCCGAGGTTAAACAATCATCCAGTCCAGAGGTGATTGCTAACTTCTGTTTCTCAGTTGTCTCTGCAAATAGAATCAATATCTGAACGTTATCACTCTTTTAACAGTTTAGGCACATTAATAACGTCAGGTGGATGATATACTACAGTGGTAACGAATGTCATAGGACCTGTAAAACTATATTGATTATAGTGTAAAAACTGAGCCTCCACAGTTGGCAAAGTTGGATGGTTGAGTTTTGTTTTCAGATTACATTTTACAAACATTAAGTTTCCTTTGATCATATCCGTATAATACTCTTTCAGCGGTTCAGAATTCTTCTTCTTCTTCTTCTTCTTTGTTCATCGGCTGTAAGCTCCGAAGAAAAGTCCTGGTTGTTCGTCCACCTTGACTTTTTCTGGCTGACTGATTTTCTACCCCACCAGGACATCACACAAGCGATAAACATCCGATGACACAATGTGCCACCATGTGGATGAGGATCACAGTGGAGAGGTCCCAGAAACCGCGTTCAGCCTTTAGGCCATATTTATGGCCATTCTATATTGCGGCCCCTAGCAAGAGCCAGAGTAGGGATTCAAATAACGAAAAATTCCGTCTTCAAAAGGACGGGAAGATAACAGATTAACTTTGACTTTTGTTTCATGCTAGGGCCTGAGTTTTGTGTGCAGCTGGTTGTTCCTTGCCGCTCGGGCAGATGCACTCTAACTTTAAAGGAAACACCCAATTAGTCGACTCCTACGACATGCTTGTTGGGGAAGCAGTTGGTCTATTCTTGATTTTCCCCACAATGTGAAGGTTCAGAATTGAGGTAAAAAAAAAAGTAAAGTTCCCTTTTCACGCCTTTCGGCGCATCGGGCATATGGGCAGAGCGTCCCATATTTTTACAGACCATCATACTTGATCTTATCAGAAACAGTATTTCCGTTGTTGTTTCCCTTTGGTGTACTAACTGAAAAATATTTCCCTCCCCTCCTCACCCCATGAGAACTCACATTTCTCCTGTGTGGTAGTTCAGTAGGGCAAATCCCATACACAGTCGATTTCCAGTTCTGCCCAAGTGGCCATCTATTCCTTCATTCCAGCACTTATGACCGTTACAGTTTCTGAATGAATGGCCAAGCATGCAGCGAGCGTTCTTTTTCGCTTTATTCAAAATATAAACCGAGTTACGCAGTGAAATACTTAAAGAACCCATTTCCACGCCTTTGGGTGTATTGGGCATACAGGGGTAGACCTATATTTTTATAGACTATTCGGCACTTGGTGGGTCATGTGAACCGAGTGACGTACTTGTGACAAATGGTAACAGTAATAATTATTAACAGAATAAGTGTTCCGATACAGCAGGCAGAAAAAAAAAATTAGAATAGGGAGAGGAGAAAAGAAATGTAGTTAGGACATTAAGTAGTTTACCGCACTGCAAGAACAAGAACAGTAAAAGAAAGATAAGGAGGCTTCTTGTGAAGGAACTATTGACATATTTTCAAGACTAGTGCCATAAATATGTGAATAGTAAATTACACAACAACAACTACAACGTATAACTTCATAGGCAGCGCCGAACTAGACCATCTGCTCGAACTTCAAGTATTATTCTGAATCAAATATTAAAAATCAGAATCGTGTTCGAACAGACTATGTGCTAATCACTCTAGCTAACAAAGATAAAAGTTCACTCCAACTTTCTACAGTCACAAATCTTTGAACCAGGACACACATGGAAATCTAGATGTAATACAATCTAACTATGGAACGTACCATCATAACACAAAACCAGTGAGCTAGGTTCATTTCTCGCCTCATTCCCCTGAACCCACATTTTGTTAAGAACCCTGTACGGATCTACAGCGAAAAGACAGAACTGCATCTTTCTTGTCTCACCATCGCCGATTCACAAACTAAAAAACAAAGAGCGAAGAGAACATTTCTTGAATTTAATTGAAAATGGAAAAAAAAAAAAAAAACTGGGACGGCTTCAACCTGCCTCTGGGGCTTGGTTTTAATTGCGTCCCTTGTTTATGTGGGGTTTTAGTTTTGTTCTTTTTATGCGACGTGGTCTCGCGTCTTGTTGTGGTTTTCCTTGAGGTTCTGCAACTATGGCTTGAATTGGGATTGGAAGATTTACTAGTCCTGAAAAGAACTAGTAGTGTATGCCTGGCACGGCCTGCATCGGAGATGGGTGGGAGTAGATCTGGCTGTCGAGCAATCATACCTGGCTGGTTTTGCGCAAATTAGTTTCCGGTCCGGTGAGCTGGCTGGTAGGTGCCATAGCGGCTTGGTCAGTTCTTGTTGGTTGCTGGCTTCGTCGTACCTCGGGCGGGTTGGTTCGCCTGTTGGGTCCTATTGGGTTTTGGGTGGGTCAGTGCGGGTGATTACTTTGTCAGTGTTGGCGTTCTTGTTCCCTTCGACCTGTGTGCGACTGGGCTGTCGGACTGCGAATGTGATGATGATGTAACGTCCAGTGAGTTTTCTACTTCTTCTTCTTTGTGTTCGGCTTTGTATACTCGGATCAGACCATCAGGTGGGTTGCCCCTATGAACTTGCATGTCGGTAGCAGGTCCTTCATGGTTATCCATAGCTTGCTCTGCACACTTGGCTCTCGAGGTCAGGTGTTTTTCCTAGGCAAGTTGTAGGTAGAGTGGGCAGGTCTGCAAAATGTGCTTGGGATTTTTCCCTAAGGCAAAGTTTACAAAAAAAAAAAAAAAAAAGTCATAGAATCCAATCACTTCTTATTAAAGCCAGGCGAAATTTGAAAAACGATTTTCAAGCACTTTAATGTGACTATACTGTAAATATCTTCCATACACAGTTTGGTGATAGTCACTTTTTTTTTTTCATTCTAATTTCCTCCTCCGCATTCTACAGACTTTTCCAATGTATACTTTACAGTCTAATAAACATCACATAATTGCAAAAGTTTAAATTAAAATCAATAAAAAAAAAAAAACAACTAACTGAGTTTGTACAAAATACGTTAACAATAATATTAAACTAATAAAAGGTTTGGATTTTTAGAAGACGGTAAAATCTCAGACGTTGAGAAAAGAAACTTACTTTTACTTTACTGAATACAACCGTGACGAACAAAGTCCAGCATTATCGTTTTTGTGATGTCCGGTTGATCGTGAGGCGCCTGGTGACCAGCATTGCGGACAATCACTCGACAGAACCCGCCTACATGTATATAATAACCTACAATTATAGAACCATTCTGCCACGTTTGTCGATCTGACGCATTGTAAAGACCCTGGAGGAGAAAAGGTGTCGACAAGATGACTTCTTCAATATTCACAGCAGTAACGATCCCATCAACGTCCTCGGAGTAAATAAGGACCTGACAGTTGTCCATGATTTCAGCCAGTTGTAGCTTCGTTCTGACCAAGAAATCAGATCCATACTCTTTGAAAGGTTCTCTGTTGTACCGACGTGAACCATTTGTCGAATGGGACTTATGTTCATGAGACAGTCAACCAGATCGTAACTTGGGTTCTACTCTGGTATGTTAGTTGAATTGAATATACCATGACAACACAATTCTAAGCCCACTCATCGTTCCTTACTTTTTTTTAAGGGAGGTGATTATTTTTCTCAAGCAATGGTCTGCTTCACATCTGGAGATTTACATACTGTTGATACGATACGGCTTCAAGTGAATACTAAAAGCGACCTTGTTCTGCACTCCGGACGTAGGGATCAAAGAAAGGTCCACCCAAGTAGATCCCCGCAAGCGGTATCGCCGATCTGTTTGTCTGCAGTTACTTGTGTATTCGGCATGCCACAGATAGGACATATTTCCCAGCGTAAGACTGGCCCCCGATATGCAACTGGGTGTTCAAATAGTCAGGAATCATCCATTTTCGTCTTGTTTAGGACGAAATTTGTGTTTTTTGAAGCCCCAATATAGGCAGGTCATGAATGTGGCCAATTGTCTGAACGCGGTTTCTGGGACCTCCCCACGGCGATCCTCATCCACATGGTGGCACTTTGTGTCATCTGGTGTTTATCGCTTGTGTGATGTCTTGGTGGAGTGGAAAGTCAGTCAGTCAATAGTCAAGAAATAATATGTAGAACTGGCTGATGAAGGAGAACAAGTCCTCTGTGTAGCCATGGTTGGTAGTTTTCCAACCACGATGACCACTGTCTAAATAACTGTAGCCAGTACCAACTGGGTTATCTATATATAGCATAGCAAACGATTCCGCCCAGGATTTCTCCCATCTTTTGTAAGTGATTTTATCTCCAGTAGCTGTTTCAGTAACTCTGATAGGTCCGTTTTCCCACAGTAGGCCCAGCATGGAGGAGACGGTAGGGCCACCATTCAGCCACACAAGAACCGGCGCGAGAGGTTCTGAAATGGCAGGGAAGAACCAGAAAAACAAATGATTGCCTAGTTGTTTGTCCACGGTTATAAACCCAGCGTAGCTCTTGTGGATTATTTTTTGGGGATCTCTGACTTCACTGAGCTACAAGGTAGATCTGATATCGCCTCTTTCCAGAAACGACGATAGATGTAATGGATCTATATATATTCCAACACACCAGAGTGCCACGTGGAACAGCCACAGAGAAACATAACTGTGCCTTTTTAACCACACTACCTGTTTTGAAACGAACACGGTGAAAAAAAAAAGATTAAATTTTTTCAAGACTACACAAATCAACCCCACCATTTATTAGGCGTTTCTGTTGTTTTAGCCCATTCTATCCATGCTGATGATTATTATAATATCTAATGATTATGACCTATAAAGTATCATATTGAACAGCAGAGTTAGCGATGCGAGGGAATATTAACGCCATTTGTATTAACATAATGCAGTTATAATGCCGTTAAAAATTAGATGTGATTTGAAGAGAGAATGATATTAGAAGATATGTGAAAGTGAAAGTCGTTTACCCGGGGCAACCATACTTGAAAGGTCCTAGGCAAGCTGCTGACAAGGGAGTACAAGGGTATAATAGAATTTACCTGTAAAGGGGCGGGACAGAAGTATCAGATGTTGAAGTGAGTGAGAGACTCAAGTCCAGATCTGTAGCCAGACTGTTGTTGTTGAAGAGAAAATGCTGGGATATTCATGTCGTAAAAGTAAATAGTGCATGTATAGTACATAGTAATATGTGTTGAATGAGAAGTACATGTGCGTTAGTGGATGGAGGTTTATTCAAGGGTAAAAGAATGTCTGTTTGAAGTAAGAACTATTCATATGAAGAAGAGTAGTTGTTTCAATGTACAGTAAGATTTATGTTGTTGCGTTCACGTTTATATGCTGGGGAATGTAAACTTAGAGATTAAATATATTTAACAAGTGACATGACAGTTTCTGTCATGGTTGTACTGGGTTGGCAAAAGAGTAGAAGGTATCTAGCGCAGTCGATAGGAGTATCGCTTTCAAATCCAGCTACGTCTCGCTGCATCCCAGGGCCGGTGTTCGCAACCAGGCTGTTCCCGGGGTTCACCCAATCTCCAGGAAATAAGTACTAGCGTTAACACTTTGAGGTAAATGGAGGAACGTCGCTGTAGCTACAGAGTGTCGTGGAATGATAAGCCATTACGCATCGGTCCGTAAGACTGGTAACCTGACTTACCTGTAATCGGCAAAAATTCAAACTTGGACTCGCCCGGAAAGATATAGTCCCTTATATCTATATATATAGGCCTTTATTAGACAACATTATTATGTCTACATTTTCTGGTTGCTTTAACTAAACTCCACTTTTAAATGTATATATCTTCGATATATATTAGAGGAGTTGTTTGATGTTTCTTAGAAACCGATGCACTCCTTGCCCATGTATACTAGGGACTTCTTTTTTTACCAACGCCTGAAGTGCGTAAGTGACGCCATTCTTTCTTGCCGGTTCCAAGCGTCCAGACGTGTCAATCTATGCCTGTATAATTTCAATTTCACAAGGCGATCTGGAATGTCTCAGTTTTTGCATATGCTTGGGATAAATCCTTTGTGAGGAGCTGGCAGAAGTTTCACAGTCCAACCAACACCCACCAACCATGAATAAACCATAAACCATCTACCCACCAGCTAACACCTGTGAAGGTTCCTGACATCATCACGATGTGGGAGCTTATAACTCAAACAGCCTACCAGGGCTAGAGCTTAGTGTGGCTCAAAGACATTGTGGGTCGTAACTGGTGATAGAGACTTGCTAAGTACCAGTACAGTGCTGTGTCCTCTATGGTGAGGTACTCTCTTACTACTTGATCCAGTGGAGCAGAATTCCCAGAGTCAAAGACAGTCGAATCATCCGGAGCTGAGGGAGGCATCATAGACAGAAAGAAGAGAAGCTAAGTTTGATGCCTGATTTGCTTTGTGCCTCACAGCTCCTATGTTTCCCAATGATGACATAGAGTCATCTCCAAGACCTGCTGTCTGTGTAGTATCCTTGGTATCTAGACATTATATTCTGAGATTCTTCCACTGATAGCTGGAATTCACTTCATTATTATATGTTATTACACTGATTACATGCATTCATTTTCATGGCTGACTTAGGTGTCTCTATTTCACCTTTTTAAGTGTTTAGCAGTTGTGTGTGTATGTATCTTCATTATATGTGTTAACATGGTTATGATAATGAACTATCATAACCTGGGGGCTTTCTTTAGTAAGTAGTGGGGGTGTCCAGCCAAGTTTGCCTAGAAATATTGTATTCATATACTGACATATTTTGTAGTGCCAATACTTGAGTTGCCCTACTCCAGAGATAAGTTGAGCGTATATTGGCCACGGGGAATCCCTTAGACCAATACGAGCCAAACGACTCAACATAATTATCTCTGAGTGCTGTTGTTTCTGAAGGAGAAATCCTTACATTAGGCACGCGACAGGAGTGATATGTGACACAGAGTTGCGTGAGGATGGCGACACATGGTGGCAGAGCACTTATGGTTTATTACTGTGTGCAGTGAAGCTGGTTAACATATCCCGACCTTTTAGACTGCAATTGGCAGTATGGCTAATTAGTGGTAGCTTAGCTAGATTGTAGTCGGTTTTTGGCTTATTATTTGTAGAGCAGACTTAGCTAATTGGTAAAAACTGATTAATAGCAACGAAGGAGATTATAGGAGTCACTTGCTAGTTTATCATTGAGTAGAGCAGATTCGGCTGTTAGTTGCAATGAACGATAGGCTGTTGTAGTATCTGAGGTTTTATAGTGTGGTTAGAGACTGAGCTAGCTGTGGTAATAACTTAGTATACCATCTTTTGTATCAAGGTGACCTTTTTTGTGAAATATAAGATATACGACTTTGTAATTCTGTTCCCTTATAAACATGATTGTTAGTTGTTGTTCTTTTATTCCATCGTCAGTTTGTTCTGTATAGGAGTGGTACTATTATTAGTTGTAGTCTTTATGCAACTTTACTTTACTCTCTTTCATACCTCCACTGACTATTACCTGATCATCTGGGGTGTAGATTTATTACTACATTCTCCACACAGGATAATCTTTTTTCCATTCATACATAATTTAACTATTATTCTTCTCGTCTGCCTGTCTACTTTTCTATACCTCCCTCTTCTCTCTGCCCATCCTCTCTTTTTATAATGTAACTGTTACATGTGGGTAGTGAGATTGGACGCCCGTGTGCATTTTTGCACACGTAGAAAAATCCTTTGGCAGTTGGAAATGGAAAAGTGTAGCCTAACGGCGCTGCCCGGGCAAACATTTGGAGTTAAAAATCTACCTAAAGTATTTCAGGATTCTCGCAGGTGCTACAGAGCTTGTGCACTGTGCTGAGCTTCTTCGGACTCAGACTTGAGTTAGAAAAAGACCGAAGCACTTATTAACAACTGCTTTTGTTGTTCTTCATGTTTCCACTCCATACAACAGTACTGATTTGACATTAGAATAAATAGTTTTGTGTTTAGTAATAGTTTTAATCCCGACACATCAGGGACCAGAAAAGGCTGCAGGCGACTCGGTAGCTGGTTGCTCTATGCAAGTCTAGTCCGCGGGATGAGCGTCACATAGTGAAGACAGTAATGGTTGGGACAGTAATGGTTGGGACAGTAATGGTTGGGACAGCAATGGTTCGGACAGTAATGGTTGGGACAGCAATGGTTGCGACAGTAATGGTTGGGACAGCAATGGTTGGGACAGTAATGGTTAGGACAGCAATGGTTGGGACAGTAATGGTTGGGACAGCTGTGGTTGGGACAGTAATGGTTGGGACAGTAATGTATGGGACAGCAATGGTTGGGACAGCAATGATTGGTACAGCAATGTTTGGGACAACAATGGTTGGGACAGTAATGGTTGGGACAGCAGTGGTTGGGACAGTAATGGTTGGGACAGCAATGGTTGGGACAGCAATGTTTGGGACAGTAATGGTTGGGACAGCAGTGGTTGGGACAGCAATGTTTGGGACAGAATGGTTGGGACAGCAATGGTTGGGACAGCAGTGGTTTGGGACAGCAATGGTTGGGACAGTAATGGTTGGGACAGCAATGGTTGGGACAGCAATGGTTGGGACAGTAATGGTTGGGACAGTAATGATTGGGACAGCAATGATTGGGACAGTTATGGTTGGGACAGCAGTGGTTGGGACAGTAATGGTTGGGACAGTAATGGTTGAGACAGCAGTGATTGGGACAGTAATGGTTGGGACAGTAATGGTTGGGACAGTAATGTATGGGACAGCAATGGTTGGGACAGCAATGATTGGTACAGCAATGTTTGGGACAGCAATGGTTGGGACAGTAATGGTTGGGACAGTAATGTATGGGACAGTAATGTATGGGACAGCAATGATTGGTACAGCAATGTTTGGGACAGCAATGGTTAGGACAGCAAATAGCGAGACTAAACTTGCCTGGTAGAACCACAGCAATTAAATGCTGGTGTTGATTTATAAAGTCCAATAAAGGATATGCAACTGTCTGACTAATTGACTGACTGACTGACTCACTGACTACCTGATTGGCCGTCTGATTAACCGACTACCTGACTGACTTACTTGCTGACCGTCTGACTAACTAAATGACGGACTAACTACTTGAGTGGTCGATCCAAACTCACTTTGATACTAGGAAATGTTTCGGAAAGAATAAGTAGCGGCATGCTATTGCATCTATGACATACAGAGGGCTAACAGATTAAAAAATTTATATGTAAGGCTAATAAAAAATATGGAAAACTACACTGAAGATTGCACAGAACAGGAAAACATGGAAAGTCCGCTCTGAAACCTCATGTGCCACTAGGCATAACGAGAACTGAATAGCAAATACTTATAACATCAGGTGTTTTGAAGAAGGTTACTTTACGTTTTACTTTT